ACACCAGTGCTGTCTGATCTGCCATCAACTACCAGCTACCTTTGGCATCCAGTTGTCAGCACCATCATCTCCAGTGTGTCAAGCATCCACATCAGCCACTCGTGCCCCTCTCTGTCTGTACAACAACTGTTGCCCATTGGGGCTCAGATGAGAGTGGCAAGGGGAGGGCTGGGCTTCCTCGTCACTTCAGGCTCACACCAAAGTACGCAACAGTTGAGCAAACAAGCTGAAAGGTTTAAAGTTCACCCATGATCTCATACTTGGGTCTGTACATACGAATATCAACACACAGTCTGCACTCTTTCTGTTGGTGATGGCGTCTGTTATTCTGAGAAAGGAGCTGGAATGTTCCATTTGTCTGAACATTTTTAAGGAACCAGTAATGCTGCAATGTGGACACAACTTCTGCCAGGATTGTATCACTCATGAATTTGAAACAAATAAAAGATTTGAAGGTTGGGGACCGAGCCGGCATGCAGTCTACTTCTGTCCAAAATGCAGAGAGAAGATTTTCAGTTTCTACTCATTCACCAAGAACATAAATCTGTGTCACATGACAGAACGTATACTCAACCAGACCAATAAACTGCTGACTACCTCTGAGACCATCTGTACCTATTGTGTGGACTCTCCAATACCTGCTGTACAATCCTGTCTACACTGTGAATCTTCTCTGTGTGATAAACACCTGAAGGTCCACAGCAATTCAGCAAAACACGTCTTATCCGAGCCCTCCCCTTCTCTGGAGATCAAGCAATGTTCTGACCATAATAAGAGCCTGGAATATTACTGCATTCAGGATGCTGTCTGTATCTGTCTTTACTGCAATCTGATTGGGGAACATCAAGGGCATAGATCAGTGGAAAGAAACAAAGTTAATGCTTTGCGTGAAGACCTCCAAGCAGAAGACCCGGACACAACCAGAAGAGTCCTGACCGAGGTCTCTAGGAAGAAAGCACAGCATTCGCTCCCAGCCTCTGATCTGACCCAGGAGCAGAAAATAAAGACTGCTGAACTGTCCAGTAAGGTTCGGCACACCGAGGAGCTTCATACCATGACTCTTCCACTGTCCGACCTACAGTACTCAGGTGAGTTGAGTGTTACGGAACAGGGAACCACGCTCTCCGGCCGCACAGGAACGCATGGCACATCAATGCCTGCATTCCGGCCCGGACAGAAAAAAATTGTGCTTGCAGCACTTTTTCTGACCGGACCATACGGGAACGCAGGCATTGATGTGACACTCGTTCCCGTGTTGCCGATCGCATTGCAGCTGGAGGGTGTGGCTGTGATGCCATTGAGTTCAATGCACCCCCAAAACAAAGTGAGCCGGCTGGAATGCGTTCCAGTGCGTTCCGGCCAGAAACTGAGGCTGGTGTGAACTAGCCCTGAGAGTTACAAACAGCTCAATTATGTAGTTGGTCTGGATGCATCTCTGATTTCATCAAATGTCACATGCAGGATTATCTGAAATAATAGGAAGGGTAAAATTATGCTGTATATACCGTACATTACATGACACCAGAGCAGGAAATGAGGACGAATCTTCCCAACCTTCCTACCACTTTACCACTAAAAAAAAAAAAAAAAAGCTTTGGTTGGAGTTCCAGTTTAAAAAGACTGTTGCCCAGTTTTCCTCTCTAATCTACAGAACACCTGCTCTCTATGCTATGGAGATGACAAGAAGGTGAGGTGTTCTATAATCCTAAGGCACTTCCTGTTCTATATGACAGTGCTCCTCCTTAATATAGTACAGTGCAATGAGTGTTGTCACCCTAGGACAGGAAGCGCAATACTGGCAGGATCATCGAGTGAAAATAAAGGGGAAACCAATGCAGCCATCACATCCAAGGACTGGAAAGCTGCAATGTATCAATTGTTTCTTGGGTTTAGATACACTTTCATCAAAGAGGAATTTTACCCAGATCTTCAAAATAACAACAAAACCACCTTCAGAAATGTTTAGTAATGGCAATCTACAAACACATACTGATAAGGTATACAAAGCCGGAAATGATCTATATTTCTTTTCCTCCCCATTCTTCTTACTGTGGCCATTTTTTTTTTACTAAGGGCAGATTAATATATTTCCCTGTACTTCCTGGATTTCTGGCACATGTGATTAGGACATGTGACCAGGCACATCGTCTCAGGGGAGGAAAATGCCTTTCCTGGGATCTTGTGAGATTTCCCAGCAATGCTCTGCTGATGTAATCTTCCCAGAATGCAACGCTCGGGCGCATTACATCATTTGTGCCCATGTTGACCAGTAGTGGAAAAAAAATAGATTGTAAGTAAAATAAAAAATATTTAAACTAATGAATGTAAGATGATTGCATAGGAGCATGAAGAGCTGCATAATGATGCGATTTTTAGTCAAAAAGGGGTCAGGGTCCACTTTAAGCATGGTGCAGCGCTGTGACTATCAGGAAGCCGGTCCAAAGCAATGATGTGCAACAAACAATGGAGTAAGCGCATGTAGATAAGTGTCTGAAAAAGGCTGGAGGAGATCAGCAGCACTAACATAGGAAAAAAAAGTAGAAATTGTATATTATAAAACATTTTTTATAAATGGCAATTGTCTCATATGCATTAGATTAGTAAACTAAATGTCATCCTGGTAAAGTTTAGATCTACTTCAACTTTCTTTCTTTTCTCTGCTTGCAGCAATTGTGTCTGCTGACCTGGCAAAGGACCTGGAATGTTCCATCTGTCTGAACATATTTCGGGATCCTGTGATGCTGAGATGTGGACACAACTTCTGCTGTGACTGTCTCAGGCATCACCTGGAAACACACAAGGTACTTGAAGGTGTGATCTTCGAAGTGGAACATTACTTCTGTCCGGAATGTAATGATAGATATTCTGAGAAGCCTCTGGAGGTAAGGAACATAACCCTACGTAACATGGCAGAGCATTTTCCTAGACAGACCAATAAGAGCTGGACTGCTTCTGGGACCATCTGTACCTATTGTGTGGACTCTCCCATACCTGCTGTACAATCCTGTCTACACTGCGAAGCTTCTCTGTGTGATAAACACCTGAAAGTCCACAGCAGGTCAGCAAAGCACGTCTTAACAGATCCCATCGCTTCCCTGGAGAGGAGCAAATGTTCTGATCATAATAGGAGCCTGGGATATTATTGTACCAAGGACTTCACCTGTATCTGTCTCTACTGCTGTCTGATTGGGGAGCACAAAGGACATAAGACAGTCACCAGAAGAGAAAAAACAGAAACAGAGAGATGTTCTGCAGAGGCTGTTGGCTAAAAATGAGGAAAGAGTTCAGAGTCTGCAGGAATACAAGAGCAGAATGCAAGAACAAGCAAATGTCGAAAGAAAAAAGAGCTGCCGTTTTGTGCAAAGACCTCCAGACACAACCAAAAGGCTTAAAGAACCTTGGAAAATCAAAAACTTACCCTTGCTGTGGGGCTACCCCTACACTGCAAGGGTTAAGTGTTCATTTTGTCTAGGGGGGGGGGGGGGGGAAAAAAAGGGGTTTGCT